AAAAATATCACTCTTTGTAAAGCACAATGGTGAAACTCTTGTAGTAGTATGCCTATAGTCTTTCAATTAAAGTAGGGGTTGCGAGAGAGCAAAGCATAAAGTCTTGCCATAGTCACNTTAATTCACTAATTATGATTGCATTATGGATTTAGAAAAAGTTGGAAACCAATCGAGCCATGTGAGTGACATTCATTTTGGTATCATGCCTATGAATGGTCCTATCATTTTCTTGAATAACCTTTTTACTAATCATAATCGTCAAACGACTAGCGGGACCTAATGATCGATACTAAGTAATCCAAGGACACATGTATAATAAAAGGAAAATTTGTAAAAAAAAGATTTGATTGGTGTAGCATTATATTGTCCGTCTATTCCTACCAAATCAATTGGGTCATGGTGCAATTATGGTACCGAAAAATAATTTTTTGATAGTGACATTGCACAAAAATAGATTTACGTACAATCAAATCAATTAAGTGTGATATAAAACAATTAGTAAAGCAGATAATAATAAGAGATAAAGATTGGGTGGTTAGGTCTGGTTGACCTAATCACTAAAGGCGACAACTATGACCGAATAATTCTATTAACGAGAGAGTACAAGGTAATACGAGAGGGAGAAAGAGAGAGAGAGCAAAAGTATGTTTAAGGTGAGGTCTGTTAGATCTATGTCCTCATGTATAGGGGGTTTACAATTTATACGCACAGAGCTAGTGGTGACGTGAAAGTTAAACTGCTAATTTATTGGGAATGATAGTTATAATTGAAGATAGATTCTATCGTAGAGTAATAACTACATTGATTATTACTCTTCCACGTGCATTGACTCTCACTGGACTCTTGAGCTCTGGATAGGACTGAAGTTATGAGTTAAGTCTGACCTGTTTTTTGATGGTTTGGGCTCAACCCATAAATTGGGTTTAGGCCTAGTCTTGATATAATACTTTAACTTTCCATCCAATAAAAAATGTTAAAGGTATAAGATTTTTCCTTGTTTTATTATGTTGTATTATTAGGGGTAGCTTAGGCTAGGTGCAATATGAATAGTTTTGAGAGGAATGTTAGTTGTTATTGGATGAATTTATTTGAAATCGTCGAATAAATTTATTGAAATCTTCTTTGTTTTATATTATAGATTTTGTTATTTTTATGACTAATGCCTATAAAGCAATCAAATTAAAAGCTACGATTATAAATCAGTTTAGTATGGTACCATTTTTTTTTTTATTTTGGTACTATTGTCATGTCCATTGGGTCATTGTTTGCCCAATAAAATGAAAGCATGAAATCATATGAGAACATTATTGTACGATATAGGTGGAGTTTGTTGCTTTGCATTGATGGTGTCAATATGATTTTGAATAGTTGCATTCACTTNAAGAGTTAGTGAAGTGGGCCTCAATTCCTACTTTAAGATAACCCAAGATAAATAGGTAAGTGATATTCTATAATGTGAAATACGGTTCGTTAACATTGACTTATATGTTTGTATATTTATCAAATATTAATTGGTGTGGCACATTACTTAGAACTAAAAACAAACTTACATTGGGAATATGTAAAATTCATAGAGAGCCAATGGATAGGGTTGATCACCCATTTTGTGAGCTTAATTCACTAATTATNAATATGACAGGAATTTAAAAATGATGTTCAATTAATATAACATAATACGTTAATATGATACAAATTTGAAAATGATGTCTTATTAACATGTTTAGTAAATTTGTTTTGGTTAGTGTCCAAGATTAATGACCCGATTTGACATTGTAAACCATCTAGTTGTTATGGTAAGAAGACACTGTTTGCTTTGTTGTTATTTGTTTCTTATGGGTANTTAACATGTTTAGTAAATTTGTTTTGGTTAGTGTCCAAGATTAATGACCCGATTTGACATTGTAAACCATCTAGTTGTTATGGTAAGAAGACACTGTTTGCTTTGTTGTTATTTGTTTCTTATGGGTACATATGTTTGGTGGATTTTGTTGAGAGAACAAGAGGTTCTAGCCTTTCGATTTTTAGTAAACTGATTAACATAAATACGACACAACCTTAAAATGATAAATTCATATAGGACAGGACATTTGATACAAGTCGAAGATTGAATAAATTTTTATTGTAGTGGTTGAGGGAGTCAAAGACTAAGAAGTGAGTTTTTTATACAAAACATTCTTTTGATAGTTGGATTCAATCTCTTGGTCCTTGTGGAAATAAAAAAGAATTTTACGCTCTTCCAAGAAAAGATTATAGGAAACTTATTGATTGCAGTTTTCTAGGTACTTTCTAGAAAAGTAAGAAAAAAATGGCACAAAGGTTGATGAACATTATCTGAAATTAGTGCTACAAAATTTTTTTTAATCATGTACCGAAGAAAAAGGAAAACGGTGAAGAAGATTAGCATGGAATTGATAAAAAAAACAATTCAAGAATTCGAAAAAATGGTACAAATTTGTAAAGGAAATTTAGTCTACATAAGTTGGTTCGGACAGTTTTATTGTTGAACTAAAATAAAAATACATGTCCTAAAATGATGACTATTATGACATGAACAATACTACGTGAAATTAAAAAGTAGATTTAAAAATTAGACGTGATAATCATAACCATTGATTTTAGCGTGGGTACTAGCATTTATTGGGACCTATTATCTATTCAACGATTATAATTATCAAATTTATTTTTTAAGTTCATGTAGCATTACTCTTATGACACAATTAATTATCGGGCTGAAGCCACACGGTTGGTTTTTTGATCAAACATAGGAAGATATAGAATTGTATGCCTTGAGTTTGAGTCTTCCTGACTTGTAAACTCGAGTTTAATCGATGTTTGACATTAAAGTATAAATATTTAAGGAAATAGTTTAAGTTGTTAAAGTAAATGATTATTTAACGTAATATTAGAATAGGAAGTCATGTATTCAAATCTCGTCGCCACTTAAATTATCAAAAGACTTTCACGTCATTATACCCATTCCAACAACTTAAACTTTTAGAGTGGCTAATTGTTTAACATTTGACAGATAATTGCTTATTAGGCTGATATTGTAATCATGAGTTCAAAAGGAGTGTAACTGAAAAAATTCTTCATTATCGAAAAAATAATATAAAGAAAATTGGACCGATGTTAGTCGAATTTCAGCGAGAGGAATATTATTGANGACTTGCTCTAGTGACATTTCGATTTGTTTTGACCATCCTCCAATGACGTTTGGATATGTTTCGCCTATCCTCCAGCGACATTTTGATATGTTTTGACCATCCTCAAACAACGTGCTGATTTGTCTTGATCTTCTTCCGAAAACGTTCTGATCTGCTCTGGCCATCCACTAGCGACGTTCTGACTTGCTTCAGTGAAGTTTCGTTCGCCTATCTTCTAGTGACGTTCCAACCTACTTTGATAATGTTCTAATTTGTTTCGACCATCCTCCGATGACATTCTGATTTAACCCGGCCATCTTTTGGCAATAACGNGTTCACAGTCCAAACTTTGTAAACAGTTTGCGACCGGAAAGACTACGATATGAACCCCAAAATTTCGAAGAGTATCTCAAGTGATAATAGAGATGAGCTGTAAATTTAGATATTTTAAATTTAAATCTNTTACATAGATTTATATTATTGTAGAGAGAGAAAGAGGGGAGTGGTTTGAGGAGAGTTGCTGGTGGAGGATAAACAGTTAATATGGGCATTTTATTATTAAATGAATTTGACTCACATTTGAAAAATAGTATAAAAGTGATGTATGTATTTGGAGGTGCCTATTTTTTGGGGTCCTAAGCTAGCGTTTTAGTGGCTTATGGTTTGGGTTGGCCCTACACAGAACTACGTGCCCTTTTCTTCGAGCTCACACATACATACAACTACCACAAACCCGACCAACACCAACCCAAATCCACCAACGTTGAGAGTGATTCATCACAAATAGCTGATCGTTAGAATCCTTGATGTATCACTAGATTTTACATGTAGAAAGGTTGTGGCTTAAGGATGTGAATTGAGTCTAGAGAGAAAGAGATCTGCGACATAGGGATGGGAGTAGGGGTTATCCCTCTTTGTAACATAGAGTCTCTATCTTTCTTTTTGTTTGGTGGTCGGTGGCTGTGGCTAGTGATTGACGGTGGTTTAAACCTAGGGTTAGACTTACCATAGGTCAAAGAGTTGGGGCATTGGGTGCTGGGTTATAGGGTTTAATCCAGTGTCATTAGAACTGGATTGGACATTAAACTAGCAGAGAGATTAGGTCAATGGTTCACTGGTTCAACTGGTTGGACCGGTCGTATAATAAAAAAATAAAAAAATTATAAAATATAATACTTTAACTAAAAAAATATAATATGTTCATAAAATCCAAAGAATAAAGAATATAAACAAAAAGATTTATAGGGAGCCCACACATCCAAAAAGAACTCTAAAAGATATAAATAGTTATAATGACAACTAATCCTTAAAAGTTAAAAAAAATTACTTAAACGATAAATATTAAAAGTATTTAAATAACTATCATAATTAATCTATAATATCTATCCAATTCATACACAATCCCCATCAAAAGTACACACAAATGTGTGAGTCTCCCCCATACACCTCCCCTGAGGTAGAGAAATAAGAAATTTGGAAGTTTCAGATTGTTGGAAATGTCTTGTCAAATGGTGATTTTTTGTATTTAGATGATTAAATTTTTCATTCTGTTACTCTATTCACTGTAATGATAAATATTTTGGGGATATATATGGTTTTTTAATTGTATTGAAATAAAAGTTACCCCATCATAAGTCCCTCTCTAGTCATCTAAGGCAAGTACACAAGTGTTATATGCTATATAATATGTGTACAAAAATGTATGCACAACAGAATAGAGTATGTATAGGAAGGTTGTTGTGTTGACGTGTCGATCAGCCTCGGTCCTCTTCTGGCAATGTTCTGATCTGATTCGGCCATTTTTCGACTATGTTACGACATGCTTCGGCCATTTTTGGGTAAGGGTTCTGACTTACTCTAGCCATCTACTAGTAAAGTTCTGACTTGCTTCGCCGACATTTCATTCTGTTTCGACCATCCATTAGATTTGTCCTTCCTATCCTTTGGCATCATTCCGATCTCCTCTGCCCATCTTCTGGCAACATTCCGATCTATTTCAGCCATACTCCAGCAACATTCTGATTTGCCCCTGCCATCATTCGACAATGTTTCGACTATTCTCTGATGACATGCCTGGAAGATGGATAAATTCATAGATCTAAGATGTGAACAAAATTCGGGAAAAAAAATGCTACCCATAACATCTGTCATCTTTTTGTCTGAATATATTCAAAACGATTCACTTTCTAGATGATCCCTCGGTCTTCTTCTGGAGATGTTTCGATTTGCTTCATCCATTTTCCAGCCACGTTCTGATTTTCCCTAGCTATCTTCTGGCAACGTTCTAATCTATTTTGGCTATCCTCCAATGATGTGTTAATTTGCCTTGCTCTTCTTCCGGTGACGTTCTGATCTCCACCTACCATCCTCCAGCAACGTCTTAACCATCTTCCGACGACCCTTTGATCTTTATTGTGATAACCATAGCGCTATTGCTCACAATGATGTCTTTTATGAGTGTACAAAACGAATCAAGATCAATTGTCATTTGTGGGTCATCATCTATAGGAGGGTACTCTTCATTTTTTTTATTGTCTTAGTTGATCAATTGATTGATATTTTCACGAAAGCTGATATTTTCACGAAAGCTCATCCACCTTACCACCACCATGATTTGATTTGCAAACTCTAGTTGGCATTTTCGATCACAACTTAAGTTTGAGGGGGATGTCAATATTTATATGTTTGTCTCACACATGTTAGACTAAGAAACCTTACTACTCTCTTGTAATATAAATCAACCTCCTCATGTATATGGTAAGACACACCAAAGCAAAATACATTTGTTATTCTCTTCTTTCATAGATGATGGTATCATAAAATACTCAAGGATGAGCTCGGTAACCCAGGTCATGCTACTCAAGTCGGGAACTCAACTCATCGATATTATTTATAGACCTCGACCTCAAACCTCAACTCCCTATGTCCATATCTCAAGGAAGGTTGTGCATAGTACAACTGGACGCCTACTGTATCCCCCTTTTTATGGCATCAATCACCCAACAAGCGCAAGTCTCGCTGCGCAATAAGGGCGATTGTTACAAGGGAGGAGCGAGGATCTCGTCTCTGATTAAACAAGCCTCATGAATAGATATAAATAGGAGACAAAGCCCTTGAAAGTAGAGAAGAAGTCATTGTAGCCTTACAAAAACATTCTTTGTGAGCTTCACATAGTAATCAAAAAATTTAGGAGCAAAAAACTTTTTTGAGAGTGGATTAACTGAGCTCCCAAGTTAGTGAACCGTTATAAATACTCTGCGCAATCACCCACTTATCCCCAAACTCTATTCGCTAGAGCATTGAAGCTCAGACTGAACTTAATTCAACTGTTCAATACACTTTATATTCACATTACTGCTCAATCGTGTTAAGAACATCATCAACAGATATGATTGATCTCAAAATGTTGGGATTGATTATGTGATAGTTGCAATTCATAAATCAAATCGATTATGAGTTTTTTCAAAGAATTGTAATTTTATGTATAAAAAAATATAATTTAATCATTACAAGTAGTAATTTTTGATATAATATTATTTATATTTNTCAAAGAATTGTAATTTTATGTATAAAAAAATATAATTTAATCATTACAAGTAGTAATTTTTGATATAATATTATTTATATTTTTTTGGGGTATGATACAGTACGATTTGTTTTTTTTTTTTTGGGGGGTACGAGAGCATTACCTAATACAATTTGGCAGCTTTTTAGGTGACTCTACATCTCTTTGTGGCTACACGATGGCCAGATTAAAGCCTTAGTACCTCCAGAAAGTTTTTGAACACAAAAAAAACTTTTAGAAGTGGAGGTACTAAGGCTTTAAGCTGGCCATCGTGTCGCAACACCACAAAAGGAGGCAGTACATGTTCAACTCAAAGACTTGACTTCGGTACGTACATCTAACTTTTATTATTTTAACGTGTATTTTTATAATTTTTGTGATTAANTTTAAGCTGGCCATCGTGTCGCAACACCACAAAAGGAGGCAGTACATGTTCAACTCAAAGACTTGACTTCGGTACGTACATCTAACTTTTATTATTTTAACGTGTATTTTTATAATTTTTGTGATTAATTTATTATTTTTTTGAATAATTTTTTATTTTTGTAATACTTACATTCATCTTGACAAAAATCATATGACCTTCATTTAGTATATGATACTCGAAGGTATGTAGATTTTTTTTTTTTAAAAATAATAATTAAACATGCTTTCGCTATATTAACAAAATTCATATTTTAATTCAAAAAAGTGTTAACAAAAGATATATTAATTCTGGGACCCCCTTCACGTAATCTCCCATGATATACTTGTAAAAGAGATAAGTTTTTTATGACAGTCCCTTATCAAAGGCTGTTCACATATTTGCCACTTTAATATCATATGTTTTTAACGTTAGCGATTGATTTAATGATCACTGTCATATTGTTGTACCTTAACATCGTAAATATAAACTTGATNTTTTTATAATTTTTGTGATTAATTTATTATTTTTTTGAATAATTTTTTATTTTTGTAATACTTACATTCATCTTGATTTAGTATATGATACTCGAAGGTATGTAGATATTTTTTTTTTAAAAAATAATAATTAAACATGCTTTCGCTTTTTTAACAAAATTCATATTTTAATTCAAAAAAGTGTTAACAAAAGATATATTAATTCTGGACCCCCTTCACGTAATCTCCCATGATATACTTGTAAAAGAGATAAGTTTTTTATGACAGTCCCTTATCAAAGGCTGTTCACATATTTGCCACTTTAATATCATATGTTTTTAACGTTAGCGATTGACTTAATGATCACTGTCATATTGTTGTACCTTAACATCGTAAATATAAACTTGGTCATCTCTTCTCTTGTATTAGTGCACGACTTTAAAAAAAAAAGTCATATATTTCTAAATAAACTAATGCTCTTTCTGCATCCCAAAATTCTATTGCCACCCATGCTGGTGTCAAGAAAAAGTGGGAAAAAAAGCAGGAGGGTCCTAGATACATACAGCTATTAGGGCATCTCATGCCTAATCAGTCACCTTTTGCTTTTTTCCAAAAATATCCTTCCCCATTCTCTCACCTTTTTCCCTTTCATTTTAATCTTAATTACTTTTTTTTTAATTCTTTTTTCTTCTTTTTAATGTCCCCTAAAGTTATTTCTTAGTAGTAATGGTCAGAGTGTTCCGGTCAACTTATGTATACCTCAGTTAAATTCATCATGACATGATTTTAAAAAATTATCGCGAGTTGAACTCAAAAAATTTGAATTTACAACTCATTTTTATTATCACTTGAATTATCTCTTCGAAACTAGAGTTATTTCTATTCTCTGGNTATATTTCTAAATAAACTAATGCTCTTTCTGCATCCCAAAATTCTATTGCCACCCATGCTGGTGTCAAGAAAAAGGGGGGAAAAAAGCAGGAGGGTCCTAGATACATACAGCTATTAGGGCATCTCATGCCTAATCAGTCACCTTTTGCTTTTTTCCAAAAATATCCTTCCCCATTCTCTCACCTTTTTCCCTTTCATTTTAATCTTAATTACTTTTTTTTTAATTCTTTTTTCTTCTTTTTAATGTCCCCTAAATTAGTAGTAATGGTTACGGTGTTCCGGTCAACTTATGTATACCTCAATTAAATTCATCATGACATGATTTTAAAAAATTATCGCGAGTTGAACTCGAAAAATTTGAATTTACAACTCATTTTTATTATCACTTGAACTATCTCTTCAGACCTAGAGTTATTTCTATTCTCTGNAAAAAATTTGAATTTACAACTCATTTTTATTATCACTTGAATTATCTCTTCGAAACTAGAGTTATTTCTATTCTCTGGGTTCTATTCTCTCTCATATTCCACATTTGTTGTTCATGAATATCCAAGCTCAAATGAAAGCATTGTCTCTCCACACAAACATGGCCAAACACTCTTTGAGTACACCTCTTCCCCAAGGAGGAGGGGAGAAAAAGAAGGAATCTTCTGTAAGTTTCTTTTTCTCCGTTTATTTGTATGTTTAAACTCAACTGGTAGTCCCGCCTGACTTGGGGTCGTGATCAAAAGAGCACCGTTGTTGAGAAGAAGAAAATGATGAATGAATTCGAATACGAAGAACTCGAGGCAGCGACTGAGAACTTCTCTCCCTCGAATATGATTGGTAAAGGAAGCCATGGACAAGTCTACAAAGGCATTCTCAAAGATGGTAGACTTGTAGCCATCAAAAAGCAATCACTGGGCCTTGAAAAGCTTCAAGACGGTTCCAAACTCAATAATGAAGTTAGAATCCTCTCAAAATTACCTCCAAACAACCCATACACCATCAACCTGGTTGGGCTGAGTCAACTCAGTCATGGACCTGCCAAGAGCAAAGTCCTTGTCATGGAACACATGCCCAATGGCACTCTTCATCACCTTCTTCATGTAGCCTCCCAACCTCCACCATGGCCTAAGCGTGCCCAAATCGCCATCCAAATCGCTAGAGCCGTGCAGTTTCTTCACGAATCAAAGCCAATGATCATCCACAGGGACATCAAGTCTGCAAATATACTGTTTGATTCGAGTTGGAATGCCAAGTTGGCTGATTTTGGGCTCTCTCTGAACATGAATGACCATGACTCAGTGAGTCAGCCGGTCAACTCATGGAGCCGACCAGCTGGTACTATTGGGTACTTGGACCCTTGTTACACCACCCCGAGCAAGCTGAGCACGAAAAACGATGTGTTTAGTTTCGGAGTGGTGTTGCTTGAGATCATTAGCAGCACGAAAGCCATCGATGTTTCAAGGGCCCCGGCTGCAATGGTGGAATGGGCATTGCCATTGATCGAAGAGGACCAAGTAGAAGAAATTTGTGATAAAAGAATTGCAGTGCCAAGGTACATGGAAGGGACGATAAGGCAGCTGCTAAGAATAGCAGCAAGTTGTGTGTGTTTAGAAGAAGATCACCGTCCCTCAATGGGGAAGGTTGTCATAGAGATGGAGAACTGCATAGTTGATCAACCTGTTCAATTTCCTATATGGATGAACATGAACCTCTTACACAGCCTTGTAACGAAAAAGTGGTGGAAAAGGGCTGCAAAGCGATGCAGAACCACCATCATCACCGCCAAAGCCACAGCCGCCACTACCACCATAATTTGTGCAGCCACAGCAGAAGAAGTAAATGGTGGGCGCAGCTCCTCTGCTGTGAGGAAAAAACAGCACAGTATGTTGTTAATTAAAACGCCGACGTTTNAAGTAAATGGTGGGCGCAGCTCCTCTGCTGTGAGGAAAAAACAGCACAGTATGTTATTAATTAAAACGCCGACGTTTTAGTTAGTTTTGCACAGAGAAACAAATTCCCCAAAATAAGTGTTGAAAGTCTTTAATGAGATTATGAGGTGCGAACCAGAGGGGAGGTTCCCTCTCCAAAATATGAAGGCTTCTCTCTCTAAAATGGTCTTCCCTTTAATCTCAGGTGAGTTTACCGGTCGTTATTTCTTTTACTCCGTTGTGTCGCTACTAGAGAACTCATCCTTCTCCACCTTCCCTACGTTTCATTCGGTTTCTCGATTGTATCAACTATCAATCACCAATATCAATGTAGAAATGGGGTTTCAATTCCTTCTTGTTTGGAGTCCCATTGAAGCAAAAAGGAATAGGGTATAAAATCAAGCTTCATGGTCAATAATGAGGAAGTTCAGGTGTTGAAGCAGATGGAGAAAGGGCCTAACAGACATTGATGAATTGGATTTCGGTGATAACCCATGTTGCATCCAAATTTGTGATCTTATTGTTTGTAGTTTGGTAGTCAGTGAAAATTATCCCTTTGTTCAAATTTATATGTATGTTTGATATCAATAAATGACAAATTTAGATCGAAAAGATAAGTTTTTTCTCTGCACTCCCTTGCCTTGCACAATCTCTGTAGACACTCAAGACCCATGATTTTGTCTCTTTTTCTCTCCTCTCTCTCTCTCTGTGTTAAATTTTACTACAAATTTTTGGGTAAAATCAAAATTGTGGGTGCCGAAGGTCTTATGATTGTCACAAGAGGAAAGGTTTTGAAGGAGCTTATTGCAAAGAATGAAGGCGATGGACATTATAATTGGAGCAAAGCCTTATAAGGAGAAAGAAGAAAAGTAGATGGTAGATTGCTCAGTCAGTGAGGTAGGAGGGGAGACTGCTGAGACCCGGATGGAAGTGGAGAGTGCATAAGAACAAAGCGCCATCGTTTCACTTTAAATGAATGAAACGTTGCCGTTTCATTTAACAGCACAGTGTGCTGTTTTTTGCTAACAGCAAACGAGTCAGACCCGTAAATGGTAATGGTGATATTGTAAAAGGATAGTTATTGTTGAGAGAGATATTGGCTGATATTACATTGAATTAAACCGAGTCATTTTTAAACAACTTGGCTTTGTTAGAGTTGTATATGACATCAGGAGAGATTTAAGTTATAAACTGTATCAATCAAAATTACTTGGAGTTCGACTTTGCGACCGTTTTTGGAAGACTCGATGGAGTCGTATGAATGAAATTCATAGTTTGCACAAAATCTGAGGATATTGAAGTAGAAGATTCTTAGTCTAATTTGACTAGACTGAGAATCTTTTAACCATGACGGCAAGGAAATGGTGATGTTGATGTTTCAAAAAATGAAGTTGTTGAGGAAGGGTATATAATATATTGGCTGATTACACATTGAATTGAACAGTAAGGATTGTTTAACTGAATCATTGTGAAACAACTCGGCTGGGTGAGCAAACTCGGGAGAGTCAATAAGTCTGAACCATTACATATATAATACGAAGTTCAACCTGCAGCGCATGGACTCCAAGCACAAGGTTCCCAAAAGTAGGTGAGAGAGAGAGAGTGGGGAATGTAAGAAAGCTTTGTTTTATCACTATCATTCCATGCTGATGTGTTTACAGTATCTCTTCTTATCATCCCTCATTGTCCCTCGCTTTTGGTGGACTTGTATATATTTGCACCCCGGGCTCCTATAATTTTTTTATTTTAATTAATAGCCGTCCTAATTAGCCACACATTTTAGACTCGTGATTGATATGTAAACTCGGAGTTTATGTAACTTACCCAAAAACTAAGTACACCGGATTAACCGCGCTGCAGTCTGCAAAGACCTCACCTTAAAATTAATGTCAAGAGGTAAACGAAACAGATGGCTCCCGACTATGTTATCTATTTCAATCAAGTTTATATATTAATTTTTATGTCAATTTAGTTCCTCAATTATGTAAATCTAACTTAGTGTGATCTTTTCGTTCAAATTTACCGCTAACTTCAATTGAAAAATTTACGTGCATATTATGTGAATAGTCTTAACTACCTTAATTTCTGACTCATCTGGTGTGCATGCGAGACTTTATGTCAAAGTTATCAACGAATTTAGATGAAAAATCATATCGAGTCAAATTTCATAGTTGAGTGGCTAAATTAATATGAAAATTAGTTTAAAAACTTAATTAACAAAGATAACATAGTGTCCGAGTCATTTGTAAGGTTAAGTCAATCTTAAAAATATTAACCACTAAAAGTCAAGCCTCCAAAACTGTATTGTTGGGTTGCTCTTACTTATAGAGTAATGTTATTTGAATAAAAAATTTTGACATAATTTATTGATTTAATGATGTGATTTCATTAAAACTATTGGATCAACACCAACATATGATATTTGACGGGGCTCATAGTCAATTCAAAGGCTAAAATGAATTATGTCAGCAAATTATGTCCCATTAGGTACGATACGAATAGGATAAATTACACTTTACCCCTTGAATTATTACTTTTATTTCACTGTGCACCCTCAACTATAAAATTTCTCACATTGGACTTTAAAGTATCAATTTTATTTCATATTGTTCTAATAGATAACAACTATTAATTTTTTTATGGTAAATGTGCATGTGAGTAGTCCGTAATACCAATAAACAACTGCTTATTGCACATGTGCATGTCAAAAGTAGAAAAAAAAATACTCATCGATGACTTTGCTTTTCCTAAGTTTTAAATTTTCTTCCTCTGATTGACCTTCTTTTTCTTCCTAACAACTATTTGGTTGCAAAAGATGTAAAATAAAGTGGTACTAGACACTTAACGGGAAGTTTTTTGGGGTTTTCCTCCCTCTTTTGAAAGATTTTCAAGTTTGTCGTTATCTTTGAGCGATTTGAAACAAAATTGATAATTTAGAATGCAATGTGAGAAATTTTATAATTGAGGGTGTAAAGTCAAACAAAGATAATAGTTCAAGGGGATAAAGTATAATTTACCCATGCAAATAATACTGATATATTCACAGCCCGCTCCCTTCAAATTGAAGTAAATTTTTAAAGGCTACCCCTATATTTAAATTCCCTAATTCGAATTAGGCTCATCTCCAATATTAAAGTAATTAGAGAATCGTTCAATTCTTTTTTCCGTCCATGATAATGGTTCAGATTGAAAGAGTTTTTTTTCAGATTGAAAGCGTTTTTTTTTTTTTTAATTAGGTAAGATCAGTTGACATGGATACATTTTCATCATTCAAAATAAATTGGACAAGCACCCCCCCCCTCCCCTCAAAAGTTCTTTCTTGCTTGTAGCAAAAGCAAATAGAATCAATAAAGTGAGACAGGGATATGAACTAGACATATATACTTTGCAATTAAAATACAAGAAAGCTGTCCACAGTTCAATAAACAAAGCAGAGTAGGATAATGTGGGTACATATAAATTACTAATGGATAATGGTTTGAAGACAAAAAAAACTCTTTGAATTTTTCCTTTAATGGAAGCTTTGTTGAACTATGCAACCAAGTCGGATAACCTTAGGATAGATGGGCTGGGGTTATCCCACATCGGATAACCTTAAGATGTGTGTGTGCGTTGTACGGTTTTCCGTTTAGTAGTGTTTGGTTGATCTCTTCTCAAAAAAATTATGCAACCAGTCGGCCAATGGGCAGTGCCTTTTGGCTTGTTATTATTTTCCTTCAAAAAAACCGTCATCACTCACCTTCTCAAGAAGGCTTAACAACCGGTCAATTTTTTATGTTGATTATACCAAGATTAAATTTATGTGAAAAACAAATCTACGACCCGATAAGTAAACAAGTCGACCTGTGTAGTAGACTGACTGACCTACTACACAAGGATCCAGATTAGTTATGGCTTGAACCAGTTCGGTCATTATCAAACGTGCTCAATTTACCAAAAACAGCTCATCTCATAATGGGAGAAAGAATAAAAGAGGAATTGCGCTATCCGATCTTACCCAAGGGACAAAGAATCTATCTCTAGAATATCAAGTCATCAGCTTCTAGAATATCATATTATACCTAAGAAACATAGTTTATAACGGCTAAATATTTCTTCTAATAAATTAGGAGACCATCCCATACATAGGCAAACCCTTGCCTTGTGCCAAACAATGCAAAAATTGTAATTAAAAAGGTTGTAATTGAACAAGAGTCTCTCTTTAGCTTGATGAACAACTCATCATCTTGTGTTCGCGTTTACTGTTATTTCACACACACACATAACTCTCTCTTCATCATGATTAGAGCTCACTCTACACCCTTAACTCACGTTCTTGATCTCTAGCACCATTCCTTCTGTGGGAATGATTGTAATCGTTCTGCTCTGAAATTACTTAACTTTTGTTTGATTGATGTTTCTAATGAGAACTATAAGCCAAAATCCAAAAAACCAGCAACGAATACCTTTACCAGTAGCTCCTGCTGCAAATCTGCCTTTGTGGAGGAGCTTAAAACTAACCAGCAAATCATTTTACGCCACAGGCAAAACCTAAAAATTATTGCCCTTCTCACTACCCAGATACCTCGAAATCCTAAAAGTCATCCTCCTCCTCCACAACCTCTTAATGGGGTCACTAAGGAGGACTGCTGAAGCCACTTTGACAAAAATGTTTGCTCTTGTCGAGCTCAGACAAAGCAGGAAGATGAGGCCCACAGCAGAGCTAGTGAAGAAAGGAGGCATATTCCTCAGCCTACTCTTCAATGAAACCCTCTAAACCATTACAAGGAGAACTGCATTAAGGAGGTCTAGGATGAGCTGGGCAACCTGAGAAATATCGTCAAGAACCGATCCACAGAGGTTTTGGAAACATCATCAACTTTTCCATGAGAAACATCATAAATTTTTCTTCTTTTTTCTTATTTTCTTCCTTTCTTCCATTCTTCCCCCATTTGGTCACTACCTCACAAACCCCCTTTATAGCCAACCATCGCTTGGCCACCAGGGTTCTTATTCACCATGCTTATGACATGCATGGTGATATCACATGGACACTCGTCCATTTTCTTTGGTTATTTTTTTGTCTATCAAGATATGTGTCATATTTTTCTTTTGTATATATATTCTATGTTAATGTATGTGGCACACACTTCTATACACATTATACAGTTCAGATACTTTAGATATTTAACATAACATTTAACATGGTTAATATTGTAGTCATTGGATTCTTTTTGCACAAGTAATCTATTTTTGAGGTATATTTTGTTTACGGAGATTTGGTGACAGGTACAAAGTTGGGTATTTTTAAGGCGGGAGTGTAACCTTGACACTTTGAAGACGAAAGGTCCATAAAATCAACCATCGACTAAAATACCTTTAATAAATAATGTAAAATTCAGAAAAATTAAAACTTAATTAAAAGGGTAAAATGGTAATTAAGTCGTTAAGCGTGGGTTAAAAACTGAATTTTTATATAGTTCGGATGACGAAACAGATCTCAACATTGGATTCGTCTCATGAAATTTAATTATCCAGTCAAATTTCATTAAATTTTGAGATAATCAAATTTTTTACATGTTACGAAGCGATCGGGGTTAGCACAACTAAAATTATTGTTATTAGATTTTATTTGCGGTACCTGAGAAATAATTTAAAATTAGTTGAATAAAAATATATTAACTTAATGCAGGATGAGATTTAATTAGTTTGGGATAAAATTGAACATGTTAAATCGAGACGTGTGAGTCAATACGAGCCTAGTATAATAAGGACTTAAAAGGGGAAGACTTAGCCTTTCAAGCCTTCCACCACAAGAGAGAGAGAGAGAGAGAGATAGAGAGTCTTCTCTTCTATTTTCTTCCTTAGATCTATG